TTTTGTGGAGCATGAGTTTAAAATAAAGGTTATTGATGGGGTAACCCAACTTGCTTGCAACTACCATTACCTTATCCTTATACTCTTGTAGAAATAAATTCTGAAGTTCTACGTCACTGTCCTCAAGCCGCGCATTAGGCGCCAAGTACGACAGTTCTCACTCCTTGTACTTGAAAATTATAGTAACGCTTACGTACTAAGTGGCCTCTGCTCTTTCCAAACCCCGTCAGTGTGAGTCCCTGCTCAAAAGTGTCTGAACTGAGTCAGAATTAGTCACTCAGACAGGTATTCCAGACAACTCCAATGCCTGGTAACTGGGATGTCGAAATAACCAATAGAAAAAAAAAGAGAAGAAAAAAAGTGAAAATGGGATTTTATGGAGCATGAGTTTAAAAAAAGGTTATTGATGGGGTAACCCGACAGGTTCAAAATATGATTTAGTAAGGATTCAAATTGGTTCACCTTGTGCAGTCAGACATATAATGGATCTTCAAGCTCCAAAACCAGATTGTGCACTCGATTTACTGCAAGAAATAACAAGAATTGTAGCTGTCTCACCTGGAGGGAATCTAAGGACAACAGAAATACCCTCAATACATTGGGTACCTTAGAGAGGCCTATGGAGAAATCAGCAGAGAGGTCTCATATACAAGAGCTGAAGCTCCACCACCAGACGGAACAGTCGCTCCCTCCTTGGGTATCATTTCCACTGCTACACCAGCTGTGGAGTTTCCGGACCATCAGGAGGCCCTGACTCACAACATTTGGAATTTGACACTGCACAGCACCATGGACCCACAGCAGGTGGTAAGTCCTAAGACCATCATTCACTTCAGTCTCCACAAGCTTCTGTCTGTTAAAATGATGAAAATACACATAAAAAATACAAGTGTATTTGAAACAAGACCGCACGTCAGCAGTCATGAGTCAGCTTCATTATGTCTGATCTTTCTGTCCTTTCCACAGACCACTCCGATACGATGCATGAAAAGGAGCAGGAGAAAACCAACCTTACTGTTGCTGCTCCTGCACTCAGCAGCCCAGAAGGACAAAGTGATGCTTCTGGAGATACAAAGAAAAAGGAAGAGAATGACAAGGCTCAGAAATCTGAGATCCCTCATCAACGAACCCACAGGCTGAGCAAATTTGTGTTTGGCATTGGAAATGCAATACAAGACACGGTTCCCTGGTTCCGGAGTGATACATCGGTTGTTGGAACAAGACGAGGGAGCACGAGAAGAGGGAGTGTGGCACCAAAGCCCCATGAACTAGTGGACCATCCTCTTCTCTCAAAGTACAAATGCTCCAAAAGATGGATCAGCCAAAAAAGAACCACAAAATAATACTATTTATTCAGCTTAATATCAAGCTCAACCTTCTTTATAGGTATCTTTATTCCTTTTAACCATCATTTATCTGAAGCACTGTGTCATTTGATGGTTAGCTTTTTTTATTTTGGAGAGATGTTTGTAAACTCCTGTGTGAGAGTTACATGACTACCGTATGTTTGAGAGTAAACCTGTTTGAATAAAACTTTTGTATTAATGTATACACTCTTCGTGTGCTTCTTTGACGTATCAGATTATTCACTCAGCGCCAAATAGTCCTGGTCTGTCAGGCATCTGGCCATCATTGCCTGGATGGCCTCAAATTATTCTCCAACTCAGCTTCATGTTGTCAGTATTGTGCACCTGACAGTAATATTGTACATGCCACTAAATGGCAGATATAAAGCTCCAGATTTTCTAAGGGCTGTATAGGTCCCGATGATGTACATGAGGTAAATATCTTCGCCTACAAATACACAGTCACTTCAATTTACAGAAACGCTGTGAAGCGATTTCAGATGTTCTTAATGTTCTAAGGCTATATCAAATGTAAGTATTAGAATTACTATATATCACACCTTTAGAAATGGGGCACATAAATGTTTGGAAGATGGCAGCAATGCTTTGCCCATCATCAGTATTGTGGGCTGGATTAAAAATGACACCAAAGCAGGTTTGCAAATGTTTCTTACAAAGGACAATTGAGCTTGTTAAGAAAGACTATTTCAGTCAACTCCTAAAATGAGCTGTTTGAAGCAAAAATCTGGAAGTTACACTGGATTGGGGTGAAAACCTCACCACAAACAGCTTTCTGAGTGTTACTTACAAAAGCCAGCTCAGCTTGTTACGTGTGCAATGAAGAGCTGCTTGAGGCTGTTCTGAAACAGATATGTTAAAAGAGGGAGATTACTGCTGCTCAGAGCTGGGGTGAATTGAGAGAAACTTAATGTGATGGTGGGCAGAATGCCATAGTGCAGACAGAGAACAGTGCAATTGCTCGCAGTACTCACACAGGTACTTTGTGACCTTCCATTGACCTGGACATGGTAATAATAATGCTTGCATTTGATGCAAAACTGATAACATCAAAATGTCTTAAAGTGCTTCACAAGTAATTATTGTCAAGTTTAATGACTGTTTGTTAGTAACAGCAGCACTGGTGTTTGCGGAACCTTGCTAGCACAAATGACTGCTGCTTTAGACTTCAAAAACTACACTGGATTATTTTTGAAGTGTATTGAAATGCTTTGATATGATAAGATCTAGGTATAGTGAGGAAGAAACTGGTGATGTGGCGCCAGCACTCACTGTACATCACCGGGAAAAATCTGGTGAGGAAGTGTGAGGCCCTTTTTGGTGTTACTGTACGTTGCCCAGGTCTGGCCTCTGACCAGGAACAACGCCACTGCAGTCACCAGAGACGTCTTCCAACTAGTGTGGGGGATCCAAGATGGATTGTGTCCGCAGAGACATGATGCACAAAATCCCAGAAAAGGGAGGGAAAGTGGTCCCTAACGTAACCCTGATCCTCATGGCCACCTTTGTGTGGAGCTGCCCTGCTATGTGGGCAACAAATTTTGCTTCGCACCACGCTTCTACCTGTACCCAATGCTAAGAAGGGTGGGTCTGGCACAACTGCCTCGAAATATTCAACACCGATGTGGCGTGCTGAACCCCCTATCCTACGTTGAGAAATTCTTGAAGAACACCATCCCAGATCCCCGCACATCACCAAGAGGTCCACATAGCAGGTAGTCAAAACAGTTTGAAAGGGGGAGAGAGCAGGCCCGATCGGGAGGTACCCTGCGGCGACAGCCAGCTACATCTGGCAAAACACCTCGTCACCGGCCCTGACCAACAGCCATCAGGACATGGCCTGGCTGGTGATAAAAGGGGCCCCTCCTTTTATCATAAACTAAAAGGATCATAAACTCAGTAAAGAAGGCCCTTTGGCATTCCCGAAACCAGGTGTTCTTCTGGCAGAACGAGGGGACGGTGAGGACCTGCCTCAGGCTGGCACATGCTAGGTTCAGGGACTATATACTGAGGGACAAGCTGAAGTTCAGCTCAACCGTGACAAGGGCCAGATGGGGTCTGACCCCGGCAGGAGCCTCTCCAGCACAACCCGCTCAGGGCACACCCACCGGGTTGCCCACGAGTGCACCCAAAACTGACTGAAATAAATGTAAGGGTACAGAAGGACGTTGGAGATGTAACCAAAGAGCGTCCTGAAAATGTATGTGTGGTAAACGTGCGCGTACGGTGCACATCGGGGCACCTTCCCAAAGCAGCAAGTGTGCCTTATCAGGGTGTGTGCGGGCGCGTGCATATATATGGTGCACACGGGAAACTCCTGACTGTGTTAAAGGGAGCGTCTCAAAAGAAATGTGCGCGCAATCTATGTGCGGGGAAGGAATGTACCATAAACAACAGAATGTTTTTTGTATTGGGAGAAAGGGGAAAAAATTGTAACAAAAGATGTTGGACGTTTTGTGTTGGATTTCTGTTGTACCAAATATTATATTTGTAAATAAATATATATTTTCAAAAAAAAGATAATACCATATCTACTTTAGTTTGTTCAAGCTCAAGTATATGAAACACAAAAGCAAAACTTGGGTGCACCGTGTGATAATCTTTGCATTTGATATAGCACTTTTCACGTTGGGTGGGGCACCTTAAATGCTTCACAGGATTTAGTATAACGTGTAGTTGACTGTATTTCACTGTGTATTTTGTAGGCAAATGAGACAGACGATTTTCACACAGCAATGTCCCCATATAAACAGCCGTAAAGTGAATGACCAATTTAATCTTCTACAATATTTTTCTGTGGGGGGTTGTTGGCCAGGACACCGGGAGAAATTCACTTCTCTTTTTGAATAGTGCCATGGGATCTTTAACATCCACCTGAACAGACAGACGGGACCTCAGTTTTAACGTCTCAAATAGGACTGCACCTTCCCGACTCACTGCAGCTCCCACCCCCAGCTTGAGTGCCAAGCCAGCAGGGTCGAGCATTTTGAGACATCTTCCCAATGTGAAAAGTACAAGATAAATGTATTGTATTGTTTCTTCCACAATGCAGTGCTGCCTGCACACCGTATTGGAGTATCAGCCTCGACTCTTGAGTTCAAAGCCCTGATGTGTAGCACGAACCTACAATCCACATACTTCTGACTTAGAGGCGAGAGTGCTACCAACTGACTCGGCTGACACCTGACAACAGTATATATTGTCAATGTTCACTTATCAGGTTTCTACTGTTTCCAATATCGCACAAATATCAGAGGTGATTATTAACATATGCTTCAGAAATGGCTGTGGTGAGCGGTCTTTTGAAATGTAAAGTTAATCTATTTTACAGTGATTAAGATACATTGACAATATTGTTCACTGTATCTCAGATAACAAAAAAAAGACTAACACATGTTACATTTCTGAAGTGTAGATAATAATCACTTCTAAGCATGTAAATATGTGTGTGATATTGGGAGTAGTAGAAACTTGATTACTCATTTATTTCCAATGTTTATGGAAAGAAATGGAAATCCATTGAAAATGCAAAGTCTGTGTTCTCTTAACCTGTGGAACTCTTAATTTGCAAGAATAGTTGGCAGAACAGATGAATATTTATAGTTACTTAACTATTGTTTTATTGTTCCCATCTAGACTTAGCACTGACCGCCACTAGTTTGATGAAAAGGAATGTGCCGCTGCATGAAATTAGAGAAAGACCAAAGTCTGCAGACATTCTGCAGGAGCTTTTGGTTCAAGGGATCATCCCAAACCAGACCCCTCCTGAGGGACTGCGGGAGGCACACAATTCTCTGGTATGTGCCAACTGACATCATCTCATCTGCACATTTATGAAAGAGCAAATCCATCTCCTTTTTCCATGTGAACCTAGGATTAATACAACAACTCAATCAGAATTTAAATCTGATTTAAATTTTCTGTGGTTGACGGTCAATAGATAAGGCACGAACGAGCTGCTGGCACACTCTTCCTGGAATAATAGAGAAATATGTTTCACAAGGGGAGGGAGTAGGGAATTCTAAAGCACAATTTTCATAACAGGAATCGCAAATACCGGGTATTCCATACAGTTCTTCATTTCAAGTATTCTCAGTTTCTCTTCATTCCTGAAATGCTCTGTTACACACTGATATACTTGGTCCAAATTGGCACCCACTGCACCATTGACATACAGTTTGTTGGTTTTGCTTCCATTGAAACCTCATAAATAGGTCCCTCAGTTTTATTGCCTCCCTTGTAATATTGCTGGAGTAGACACAATGTCCTAAAAGCCAGTGGGGTCTAAGTGCTAATAGCCCATGGAATAACCACATTCAAATGCATCCAGGTGCCCTTAATTATGTTACACTATTAAAATATTCGTGGAATTGTTTCCATTGTCACTTTAGTACTGTTCCATTTATTTGACACAAGTGTTTAGCATATAGTTCCAGTGTTAATTATTTCCCATTACATTTGTATTATTATACAATTATATTGTATTATTTGGGGTTCTGTAGCTCAGTGGTTAGAGCACTTGTCTCGCAAGCGAGAGACCTGGGTTCAATTCCCAGCAGGGTGAAATGTGGGGCAAGTTTCCTTACACCACTCGCCTCTGTTTACCTCGCAGTAAATAGGAACCCGGTTGTTAGTCGATTGGCGGATCGCTTCTCCAGGGATAATAATTCCTTCCAAAAAAATAATAATTGGTCACGCAATCCATGACTGTTTGTGGGACACTGCTGTGTGCAATTGGCTGCCACGTTCCACCCACAAAATATACAGTCAATTCACCTTACAGCATATTCTGTGAAGCGCTTCGAGATGTCTTGAAGATGTGAAAAGGCACTATATAAAATGCAAGGATTATTATTATTACCATGTCAATTCCAGATGATGTCAGCTGACAAATTTTTAAAGAAGTTCCCAGTGAGACTGGATAAACTAAGGAAAGAAACACTGAAACAGAAGAATGTAACAATAGAGGACATTGAAAACAACATGATATCCGCAGAGGAAAGGAAAAAGGTACTGCATAACACAGATCTGTGCGCTCATACATCATCTGTACACTCCAAGCCATAAAATCATAGAAACTTTACAGCACAGAAAGAGGCCGTTCAGCTCTTGGTGTCTGTGCGAGCTCCCCCTACTGGAGCTAGCTACTCTAATTCCTTTCTGCTTCTCTTTCCCCATATGCTTTAATATTGTTTTCCTCAAATATTTATTCAATTCTCCTTTAATTGCTGTTATGGAGTCAGTTTCAACAGTCATTTTTGCTAAGGTGACCTAAGTTCTAACAGCTACCTGTGTGCAAAAGAAATCTTCCAACTCCTCTTGTTTTAAAAGAAGGAAAAAGTTGTAATTTTCCAAGATTGCTCAGGATGCAATAAGTCCGTAAAAAAAACCCTGCCATTTCTCCAACATAACATGGACTAGAAGAGTGTGAGCTGTTCAGAAAATGCACGTTGTTCTACCTCTGTAAAAATTTCCTTGTGCATCTATGTTTTGAGCCCATTTTCCAAAATAAAATAATTTCTGTTGGCCTTGCAGAATCCACTTTGAAATCTGCTTCATAAAACCCTTGGCACATAAGGCCGCTCTTATATTATAATGCACTTGTAAGATTCAGCCCTTTTATCAATGCAATGGTGCTTGGCATGTTTGAAATATTTTACAGCACAAAGAGTTGTATTGGAAGGCACACTACAGGTTTCTTTCAGTTACCCCTAACTTATTTTATTTCTGATTATTGCTTTCGGTAAACAGTAGGGATACTTCAGAACCCAGGATTTTTTGTTTCAATATAAAGCTCTAGTTCAGAACTTTAAAACACAGGGAATGATCACTAACTGGCTTGCTTGCACATATGATGGAGGCTACAGCTTTGACGTTGAAGCATGGAGTACCTGTACTTTTCCACCGTTTGCATGCGACAACAGCATGGAGAAACGAATGGTCAGCTGTAATACAGGTTACATGCTTCAAAAAGCATGTAATGTATGTAAGCACATAATGGAGCACTTTGCAATACTCATCCAACATGAAAGGTGCTGTGGAAGTGAAAATTGTTGTTGCTACAAGTGTAGTCCCTCTATTCATCCCCAAAAATGTTTCTCGGTGAGCTTCACAACTTCAAAAAGAACTTTACTTTGCTCTTCCCCTCCTCCACATGCACAAAGGATAACACAAATATTTCCCAAAACCATCTCTCCTTTTTCTTATCCTCACTTGAAGGTACTGAGATGCAGTTCTGAATGCTCTGAACACCTTCCAGGTCCCATGTATTCATTCTTCACGTGTTAACCTCGACACAGTGAAAGTCAGCAGCTTATGCAACCATGAGCAGCATGACCTGATGTCCGTACTTGTGCAATTTCCAGCAGCAACCTCTAGATAAAGAATGGAAATGAATTTTTAGTCGGTTCCCCTTCCCTCCCCACAATATAAGAATATTTAGGCAATTGTGACACTCTTACCATTCCCCTGGCTGGAATAAGCTAACAACCACAGGGGACAAAACTGGCTCATTTTCACACTAGGAAGTGATTTGGACCCCAATGTAGCCATTGGGGTCCAAATCACCATCCATTTAGTCTTTGAATGAAATTGCTAAACTATGAGTAGCTTTTACACAATGGGGTAAATACTCCCAGAAGCTGGATTCAGACGCTATATAGTTTCTACAGCTGGCAAAGAGGAGTGACTCATTCCAACAGTCTAGGATGGATAGACCTATCAACCAGAGGAACATAGCAACAGGAGTAGATCATTCAGCCCCTCGAGCCTGTTCCACCATTCCATTAGATCAGTGCACCTACTAACTATTTGGTCTTCATCTTCTTACATTTCACTGTCCCCTTTGAGCAAATGGCATCATGCAATCCCTGAGTCATGCAGCAGTCACTTTGATTTATTTTTATAAACTCTTACACAGTTTTCTAGTTTTACAAAGTCTATCTTTTTATGGATCAGTAGACACTGGGATCTATTATGTGACATGTATAAAAACTATCTGAACATGTGGACAATGCACCATGTGCAAACCATGTTTACCTGCATATGTACAGATAGAATTATAGGTGCCTGTAATTGTGTAATTAAAGAGCAACAACTTGCACTTATGTATATCACCTTTCATGGAGGGTGAACACCTTGAAGCACTTCACAAATATGCAAGAGAGCATAGGGATTTGGGAGAAAAAGAGAGTGAGAAAGGAAAATGTCACAGTGTCTGAAGGCTCAGCCACTAATATTAGGCTGGAAGATGTGAGGACCAAAAATGTGAAGATGATTGGTTGTTAATTACGATATTAAAAAATCATTTTCATTGGTTATTAATCACATAATTAAGAGCACTTTCTAACTTCCTCTACACACATGCATCTGCACATGGTTTACACGTGCTGTTCTATGTGATTTGGGGATGCTGAGATTACTTTGTGAATCATGGAAGAAATTCAGTACAGGTATTTGAAACACCTCTAGGCAAGTGAGTTAAAAGATTGTTTTGTGGGGGAAGGAGTCCGTTTATTTATATAAGAAAAATATATTATTTTATTTTCAGCTGAAGGAAATCAAGGTAAATGAAAGACAGAACACTTTTAAAACTCCAGTACAAGACATCCAAGATTCAAATGCTGAACTGCTTTGTGCAGATGATAACGCAGCGTTGGAAGAAATTGTTGACGAAATACTCACCACCCAGCACAAACTCCTACAAGAGGAACAGGAGGCATCAATGCAAAGGGAAGAAAAAAATGACCAGGTCATAAACACTACACAATACCAACAGAAAAATGAGGATAAACCACAGGACAATTGTGATATTGTTGATTTAGATTCAGAAGTTAACTATAATTTGGCACTAAAGACAGCTGAAGTATTGTAAACAATCAAATTCAAATTAGTTCTGCAAATCGTATATGAATTGTCTTAGGATTTATTTTCAGTTATTTTATGCAGCTGTCTCTTATTGACATTTATATAAATGCATTGTGCTTATAATTGCCAAAGTCTTTCAAGGCACTGTGAAGAGAATTTTATCCTGTATCAATAAAAAAAATCTGTCATTATTTAGCCTCTTTCAGAAATTATTGCCTTTGCTTTCAATATTCATGATGGATTTGTGGACAGATACAATGAAAAAGTAGATCACATAACTTAGGTGAGAAAAATGTCACCTGAGTCTAAATTTAATCTATTTAAGTAGCATTTTAACACATCCAGAATTTGACAACGTATTGAATTTCATCTTAACTTGGAAGCCTATTTTCCTCTAGTTCTTAAAAAAAACAGAAAACTGGCTTCAAAATTAAGGGTTTATGTAAACTGCATAAATAAAATAAATCCAGACCCAAAAGGAAATTTCTCACCCATGCTCCTCTAATGACCAATATTATCTGGGTGGATTGGATTTTTCAATTGATATTCACAAACCAGGAATAATAATAATTATAATAATAATCCTTGCATTTGATACGGTGTCTTATCACATCTTCGAGATGTTTCAAAGCACTTCACGGAATATACTGGAAAGTGAATTGACTACATTTTGTGGCCGATTGCAATTAATACAACAAAACCAGTTTGTGGAAATTCAAAGTACACCCCACTGTCAACGGATAGGTTACAAGACAGAAGTGTTGTCTGTAACATGTTAGGACCATACAACAACTTGCATTGACCTGCCTTTATGACTTCACATAGTATCATGAAACACTTGAACACTGTTGTCTTGAACAAACACCACATTGTCAAGTTAGTCCAAATGATAAAAAGGGCAAATGAAAAAACAGCATCAAATGTCATACTAACCAAATCATTAATAGATTGTCCAATCATATAAATGAAGGTAGTTCTTTCTTTCTACAAAAATGTATAATCTAAATAAAATTGTTCCCACTGTTTGTGGGACTTTGCTATGTGCAAATTGACTGCTATAAATACAGTCTATAAATACAGTCACTAAACTTTACAGGGAATCCTGTGAAGTGCTTTAAGATGCCTCGATGATGTGATAAGGCACTGTATCAAATGCAAGGATTATTATGATCAATGCAACGTTGAAGAGGGTGCAAGGAATGAATCAATACCCTCTCTCACTACTAGGTGGCAACCTCTGCCATTGTAGTATTGTGTTAAGCTAACTTCAATTCAACTGTGCTTCAGCCAGCTTTAGTTTACAGGATCACAAGAGATAATAATAATAATATAATAATCCTTGCATTTGATATAGCGCTTTTCACGTCGGGAGGACGTCCCAAAGCGCTTCACAGAATAGACTGTAAAGTGAATTGACTGTATATTTGTGGGCGAACGCGGCAGCCAATCGCGCACAGCAATGTCCCACAAACAGTCGTGGATTGAAAATGACCAATTTATTATTGTTTTTGGTTTTGTAGGGATTATTATTAGGGCTGTGTGTGGAGTAAGGAAACTTGCCCAAGGTTTCGCCCTCTGCCTGGAATTGAACTCAGGTCTCTCACTTGCAAAGCGAGTGCTCTAACCACTGAGCTACAGGACTCCACAAGTCACAATAAATAATACAAATAAAGAAATCCCTTCGGCCTATTTGATCTCATACCTCCAGAAGAGCCACCCTGTTTTGTCATTATAACATCGAGTTGTTTCTTAAATGAGTTAAATGTCATAGCCTCTTTCTGTTAACCCATTCCAATCAATTATCCCAGTCAATTAAGCTTAGGGCTTCTGTTTTTTGGGGGTTTAAAGATGTCATTTTTCAGGGTTTGTTTTATCATTTTTGGAGTTCTAAAGAGTTTGTAGGCATTTCTGGTGACATGTTTGAGAGTATTGTTCTGATTTTACTTTATCTCACTTATGTGTCTTTTGTATCTCTAAAAGGTCTCTTCAAGCCTGAAAAGTCCTAATTTTTTAATTGTACCTTATAGTTTGTCCTTGTAATACTGGGGATCATCATTATTGCTCTCTGCACGTTACAGCAGTGTAGGTAGGTAGCTCCCTGTTTTATTCTCAATCAAACTATCTGTAGTACTTCAGGTACAGCCTTAACACCACATTGTACATCTTGAGCAGAACTTACACTTCTGTTTTTACAGGGGAAGATGAAAGGGTTGCAAGAATTAAGGAAAAGTTTTAAAAAAACTTTCCATGCAAAGGTTTGTTGGAACATGGAATACTTTGCCAGCTTTGGCTAGTGCTGTGCGCAATTGGCTGCCATGTTTCGCCACAAAAATATACAGTCAATTCACTTTACAGTATGTGAAGCGCTTTGGGATGTCTTGAAGATGTGATAAGGTACTATATCAAATGCAAGGATTATTATAATAATAATAATAATAATCCTTGCATTTGATATAGCGCTTTTCACGTCGGGAGGACGTCCCAAAGCGCTTCACAGAACACACTGTAAAGTGAATTGACTGTATATTTGTGGGCGAACGCGGCAGCCAATTGCGCACAGCAATGTCCCACAAACAGTCGTAGATTGAAAATGACCAATTTATTATTTATTTTTTTGGTTTTGGAGGGATTATTATTAGGCTCTGTGTGGAGTAAGGAAACTTGCCCAAGGTTTCGCCCTGACCTGCCTGGAATTGAACTCGGGTTTCTCACTTGCAAAGCGAGTGCTGTAACCACTGAGCTACAGGACTCCAGTTATCCTGGGATAACTTACAAGTTCTGACAAAGGGACGTAGACCGGAAACATTGACTCACTTTCCTTTCTCCATAGATGCTGCCTGACCTGCTGAGTTTTCCCAGCGACTTCTGGTTTGTTTTCAGATTTCCAGCATCTGCAGTATTTTGCACTTTGCAAGGATTATTGTTATCATTATTATTGAGGCTAAGACCATAATATTTACAAATGAACATTTGAAGAGAAACAGTATAAAAGGATTGGAGAGAGGAACAGGCAATTGAGATATGAACAGCTCGCTCCTGTGGAAGCACTGACACCAGCATAAACTCAATGGGTCGAATGTCCCCTTCCTGTGCTTTAATTTCTATGAACACATTCATTTCAGCTAAGGAGGCATGAGGATAACGGGTGGGGAAATGGAAATGCCACACTAGTCCACTAGAGGATGCTCATTCATTGAATGTGTTAAGTTGCAGTGCTGGGGATAAATTACAAACAACTTCACCCAGCATCATACCTGACTAATACTTGACCTGGGAATGCTTAACGCTAATACTGGATGCAATGAGTGGATAAAGGTTTAGTTTCCAAATGTCGATGTTCCCCACCTTGATGAAGAAAATATGCAAAGACAAATTGAAACCTACTCATGAATTTTCACAAGATGAATAAATTGGATTTTCCTCTCTTTCTCATTGTGTAATTTCCATGGGGTCTGATGTAAAACCATCACAAGCCAGCAGGAAATAATAAAGCTATTATTATATCCTAGAAACATTATTCCTTATTTTCAACGTTCCAATGCTACCCCGCATGAAGGATGCCATATAAATTCAAGTTGTTATTGTTACTGAGCACTATCTATATCTTTACTTATTTTTTTAATCGTCAGCTGGGTGCCTGACACAAGCGGAAACCTATCACCATGTTTAAGAGTATCCAAACCAGGCTGAGAGTTCAACATATGTATTCTACTCACTCATGGAAATATCCCTGTGGCTGGAATGGAATGTGCACTCTCTCTTTCCAGAAGATGCAACCAGTTTGCATGCTTACTTAATTCTGTGGAGTGATAGGCCCAGGTTGGCAAGATACAAGGATCGGGTGCATTGTGGCCCCACTGGAGTTTAACCAGCTAAAGCCACGTAGCGATCTATTGCAAGCAGTGATTGACAAGTTCCCTGTTGCTCTGCCAGCCTAGACAACCATAGGTCTTTGGCTTGCAGGATTAACAGAAGTCGAATGGAAAGAATCTCTGTCCCTGGTGACCAGTCTGCCCTTCCAAGACTTGCCAACAAGTTAAGGTGGCTGTTCTGTCACCAGCAGTGCCCTGGAGTACTGCAGAAGTTATCAGAAAGAAGGTAATTATATCTGCCAATTAAAATGTGCTGGTGTAAAATTTCCTTTTAAATCCTAATTGTACTGCATCTGCTGGTGGAGTTGTCACTTCTATGATTAAAAGACTATTCAAAAATGAAAAAAAACAGTTTTGCCCTTTTGAAGTAGTTTGCCCAATGTGCAGTTGATTTTATGAATGCATAAATGAAAGGCATTCATCTGGCCAACAATCTCCAAGGTAACATCGATCATTCACTTCATGTCTGCTTGTGGGACAAGTCTGTGTGCTAATTGGCCGTCACATTTGCCTACAAATACCCAGTCACTACACTTCACAGTAAAATAAGTCCTTGTGAAGTGCTTTGAGACAACCAGCTGATATGATTAGTCCATATATCAAATGCAAGGCTTATTAATGTAAAAATGTTAGATTGGCAAGATTGCTTACACAAATAATTGATCAAAGCTCATTTTGAAAAGTCTAAATTAATTCATGTCTACTGGCATGAAAATGCAAATTTATATAATAGGAAAGAAATCTAGGGCTCCTCTGATCACTGACTGTATCTACTCAGCAAGTAGCTAATCCCTTTCCCACTCCTGTACCTCCCATCTCTCCACCAGCACCATATTAAGAATATCCAAACCAGACTGAGAGTTCAACGTATGTATGTCACCTACTCATGGAAATATCCTTCTATCTGGATTAGAATATGTGCTCTCTCTCCAGGGAGATGCTGCATGTATACCTACCTAATTCCCTCACACACACAAGAAGATCCCTGATTCAAACCCAGTTCGGGGTGAGTTAGCTGATCTCAGTCAGGAGAGTACTATAGGTACCACAATTGTCCCGTGCACCGTAAATTAGAGAACGCCACTCCTGATTGCTATATAGTAGTCCCTGCTGGAGGGGTATGTAGATATCAGATAAAATTTATGTTCTGCTGTTGTTTCTCCTCACCAAACCAATACTCGATGATTTCCTCATATGTGAATAATGGCCACGTGGACAAGATACCAGAGGGAAACCAGCATCCCATACTCCAGTAAAAGAAAAAAGAA